TTGCTTAACTGTAAATGTGATGTGCCAGTAAGCTGTGTGTTGATCTTTAACCACATCTCTGATAATACTAAACAAAATAACAACAGTTTAAAACCTGAAGCAAAAATTGATACTATAAACTGAAATACAGAGGACTGAAAAAGTAGGTATACAGTATTGATATGTTTGTATAATCAATACAAGAAGGTTTATGTGTATATTTTGTTTTTTATTACTGTATACCTACTTTCTCTATGTCACAGGAAATATATAGTTGAGACATCCAGGAAATTAAAGAAAAGAATATATAAACATAAAAGTAATATTTTACAAAACACCAACCTCAATGTTCATAATGAATTTTGACAGTGTATTAATAATTTAAAATTGAGACCAAGTCACTAAGGTTAAATATATATAGAAAGTTCAATGATGAACGAGTCTTCAACTCTAAATTTGCATCCAGGTTCATACCACATTTCTCAACAGATTTACAGCTATCACATAAGCAGAAGAGTGAATGAAGTCTACTACACTGAATAGAATAATCAAATGAAGGTTGGTAATGAACGATAATAATTAGGACAAGAACAACACATATAAGATTCGCCATTGGCACGTAGAAGTAAGTCAAGTGAATTCCACAATGAATCTCCAACTGCAGGATATCTACCAACCACCTCACGTGGTGAGATGTGGCACAAGGCCGAATTTAATGTGGGGTATCCGAGCCCTTAGGCTTGGCCAAAAATTCCCCGTAGATCCTATATAAAACAGGGCCAGGTAGCTGTTTTCCGAGATGAGACTCTGCACTTCAACACAGCCTCATCTGGGGAAACTCTCTCTGCCCAGAGGCTGAGAGTTTGACCAGCACAGTTAGAGATGAATCTCCAACTGCAGACCAACATACAGTATTCACTACTGTATTTATGGGAATGGGGGCATACCCATTATCATCCGTAGGGTATGATACAAGAGTTAATTCAATTTTATGAAAATATTTGACAAAGTGGAAAAAGATTTAGTGTGACACATTATGCCCTTTAGAGTTGCATTGGATTAAAGTAAGGTTTATGTTAATGTGACTACATATGAACATGAAGGAGAGAAGACACTGAAAATTTTAAATTTAACTTTTTTTTTTTTTTAAATGTGTTTTGGGTATATATCCTAGCTGATTTCATTTAGTTTCTTTTTATCACTTTTCTCATTAAATATCCCATATTCTGATATAATCAAAGATCTGTCAAGAAAGTTGGAATGTTGTAAGAACCTGGACACAAATTTAGTTTTTATGATCTAGCAATTAAAGCACTTTCTATATATTTTCATAAATTGCTTTCTCTTAATTAAAATAGCATTTGATTTTGAGATATAAAAATTATATCATTTTCTCACTTACAATAAAAACATTGTTTTAATCTGATGAAGTCCTTTTGAAAGATGAAACAGTTTTTTTCTCTATTTTGTTTTCATAGCCACTTTATTAATCTAATACTTGGTTTTGTGTTTCTATTATTTTATATGCATAGAGAGAAATCATTTGTATAAAATTCTAAATATTAAGTTTTGCTTAGGATTTTTTTTGTAAACTTGTAATACAAGAGCTTTCTTATTTCCAAATAGGACTTTTTAGAAATTCTGTTGCTTTCTGGTTTTACACAATCTATAGATTTAGCAAGGCACAGTGTTTAAGCTGTGAAAAATAACTTTGAATTTATACAACTTATCAGCCAATTAATAAGGTTGATTTCTTTGAGACACAAGACAAAGAAACAAGCCAGCTATAAATCTGTCAAAAAAGAAGTAATTATCTTGATATCTTTCCACATGTATGAATTCTTTCCACTTCGGTTAACTAGTTAAATGATTGATTTTGTTCCATTCTTTCTCAAAGTTGACATGAATCAGCCCAATAAAAAAAAAAAAAAAAAAAAAAAAATCACCATGGCTCCAAAAATTGGAAGCAAAAGAGCAAAAACCCATTGTGTTAAGTTGGTTTCTGATTTATTCCTATCTGGAGGCATTTGAGACCCCCCCCCACTGAAAAAACCCCAAAGAAAACTAACACTTGTTAACTTTAACAAAGACATTGAGTCTGAGACAAGAATGAATCAATTGTCTCTATTTGTGTAGCATGCTGTGGGGATGACAAAAGAAATGACTTCTGTCAGAGTAGAAAGACATTTTTTTGTTCCAAATATGATAACTTCATATTTCAGAAACTGAGTTTCATGTACTGAATTATAACAAAGCAGATTTCATCTCTATTCCTTAATAACAGCCTGCAAGTGACAGGTACTCAATTATTGTGATCTTGAGCCAGGAATGAACATAAAATAAGTGGTACAAGAGATAGTTTTACCAAAAGCCAAAACATTAACATCAAAGCTTGAATTGTGTTCTTAAATAGCCTAATTGGTTGGAAACTTTCATATGGATGTCATGCATGGTGCGAGACCCGTTCAGAAAAAAAATAAACTGTTAGCTATATATAACAACTTTCTCAGATCAGTGGTTAATACTGGCTGTTATCATATGAAGCCTGTCTATCTTAAAGAGTAACATCTTTATTTGAAGCTTTCTGACTGGCACTACAGATTCACAAACAAAAAACTGTACCAAATAACAGAAACCACATAACTTGACAGCTTCCAAAAGTAGCAACAACTAAAACAGCTAGTTTCTCTTTGAGTTATATGCCCTATCAAGATGATGCTCCACAGAACTTCAAACAAAAGGTTAGGAAGGAAACCTCTATTGAGTCTGGAAAGAGTTATAACAGTGAACTTGAGAAACTTATTTTCCTGAATAATTGTTTTAATACATAGATTTTATAAATTTCAAGAGACAGTGGTACTGGCTGCTCAGTTATTAAATGCCAATTGTTTCCCGAAATGGCTACTATTATCATTAGATATGAGAACAGATAATACACTTTGATCCCAGCTAATAATCTATACTTAGTAAATAATTACAAAAAATCTGTCAAATATGACTGGCAAAGATATTGAGAAACGAGAGTTAAGTTTCCCACTTTGGAAACTGTAGAGTAAATAGCCAATAAGTCCTTGCTTGAAAATCATCAAGATTCTAAATACATCTTTTTCATATGCCTTGTTCCTTTAAGGTGTTAGCCATAATGGTTCTCCACAATTTCTATCATTTACACCTCTAAGCAATATTTGTCTTCTTTCTACCCCTCCCTGTTTGGCCATTGCACAAACTTGTTAGCTATCCAACTTGCTGTTTTTCTCTCCTACTCTTGCTTCCTGTCAGTGTTAATTTCTCCAAGCCCTCTTTCCTCATTATACATCCTAGAAATTTCAACTCTCTCTCTTTGATTCTAAGTACAAGTGTCCTTTTTTGTTTCTATTTTCTCTAAAACTTTTTTATTGCTTACATGCTCTGTCCATGATATTCTCAGCATCCTTCTGTACCACCAAATTTATGCTGTCTCAAGTCTCCTCTTTGTATGAGGAGAAAGAGATAAAACATTTATTTTACATAATATAATCTCCTTCTTTCTTAATACACCTGTTTTTTTTTTACTAAATGTTTACCCAATACAAGGCCCATGGGCCACTCAATGTAGAGAGTTACAAAATGATGTTCTGGTATAGACATTGAAGTGTGAAGTAAGAGCAGGTTATGGGGAAATATAATAGGTAATGGGTGACCATAGACTTGAAGAGGCTAAGATTGTAGTGTTTGGGGAAGCAATCTCTCAGGAGTCTGTTCAATAAAGTAGTGGCTTTTGGGAAGAAGCTGACTGAGATGGAAATTCTTTCTTATATATGGAATATAAAAGGAAAGATGGTGGTTTGATATACTGCATGGTAAGTCTTAGCTGTAAATGCCTGAAATAATGGAACTGGGAAATAGTGATAGAGTAGTGAATGGTTTGTGATATTGTGCTTGTAAAAAAGGGGGTTTTGTAGAGTGGAAAAAATTAATTGCCTATAAGGCTGTATAATTGCTTTTAAACTCTGTCCATGGTTGGAAAGAGAGGATTGAGCAACTCCAACCCAGATATGGCAGCATTACTCCATTTATAGTCTGATCTAGCTTTTGTAAAGAATTGATTAATTCATTTTTGTTAGGGGAAGCTAATTTCCTTTCCCTATAAAGAATGAGAACGTCAGATACAATTGAGTTACTTCCCTTGTCTGTGAAGATGAGTACACCACTTCTGAAATGAACATGGTGACAAGCTGACATGCATATGGAATTCATTATTTCAATCCATACAATTCTTGCTGTTATCAGACAGTGAATAAATAAAAGTTATTTATGTGTTAAAATAAACTTGTCTTTCATTTTCATTCGTTTTTGTTCATCCCAACATCCTGGGATAAAACAACTTTCTATAGCTTAACCATTTGAAGGCTATTTAAAGCCAGAAAAAATTTTTAGATTGTAAGAATTTTTTTTAGATAATGATTTAGTGATACACTATTTACATTATTCAGACTATTGTCCTCATCTTTGTCGCCATATTTATTACAACATTTCAACCGTTGTATGCTCCGGCCTTCTTCAGGTGGTTGGAATGTTGAACTGAACCCTTTATTTTGCTCGCTAGGGTAGTCTGTTCTAGTTCCACATGCCATGTCTAATGGATGTCAGTTATCAGTTATCTCCTGTTAATTCCCCTCTCCAAGTTCTCCACCGCCTTAACCAGGTATTGAACTCACACTCCTTGGGTCCTGTCACTGGATCTAACTAACAACTTTTATCCACTGTGCCATGTGTCTGTTGTGATAAATATAGCAACAAAGATGAGGACAATAGTCTGAATAATGTAAATAGTGTACATAATACCTCATCTCATAAATATTGATATCAATGATTTAGTGATATAAGTTTTACTAATTAACCAGTAGCTGGAGGGAGAAGAAGTGGATTCATAACTTTTCCCAAGGGTATTTACACATAATATAACAAAACCAACTGGAATTGGTACTCTGCCCAAAGATTAACAATTCTGAGTCATTCATTACACAACCCACACATCTAAGCTTACAGCACCTGGTTTTCCCCACTGGTCACCCATCTAAGTATTGACCAGGCTCAACATTGCTTAATTTTGGTGAGTATATGGAAACTGGTGAATCAACATGATATAGCCATAAGCCATAAAGAATGCATTGTTGAATATTAACCTGATGGCCCATACATTGAAAATTTTAGATCAAAAGTCAATCATTAATTATGTGTGAGGTTACAGACTTAGTAAATTTTTTATTTTAATCATTGAATCCCAAGCAATACAATAAGGCCACTAAGTCCAAGGGCTTACTGAGAATGAAAGAACTAAGAAAACATTGAGGAAAGAAAAGACAATAAAAACCAGGGTTCTACTTGTCTACTCTAGTAATGTGATACAAGCAAAATAATGCTTAGACGTGAGACATAGGTTAAAATGTATTTTAAAAGGCAAAAAAAAAAAAAAAAGTTGTGTATACATTTAATGAGAGCATCTGTGTTCCTTTGAGTGAAACTGCTGAGCATGGCATAGTAGCAGCAAGGTTGGCATTCCTGACAGCGTTGATTCTTGTGCTTGTTGTCTGGGCTTGAACACATGTAGTTATTTCCAGTATTGATCTCCTCACGGTCAGCATCCTTCAGATTTGATTTTAAAAGACCAACAAGTTCATTCACTGATTTTTCAACCAATTTACTGCAACTGCAAACAAACAAATTTTAACATTTAATAATCTATTAAATTGATTGTTAGCAGCACTTAAAAAAATTGTTTCAATAATTATGTTGTTAAAAATGGTCATTTTTAAAAAGTATCTATTCAGAAGTGAAGCTTGTACAAAAAATGTGTTTTTCCTTATGGCAGGTGTCTTCAGGTCAGAATGAGAGATGCACCCTGTGTTTAAGGAAAAAGCATTGCAATTGTTGAGGAAGGGATAGTAACTAAACACACTGGTATTTAAGCATAACATGCATGACACCAATTCTGAACTAATAAATTCCAGTTTAATTAGAAAAGAAAAGAATTCACTAAAAAAAAAAATACATTGAAAGTGCACTGATCTCACAATTGTCTACAGTCAACATATCACTAATCATCACAAAAGCAATACTCACACGAAGTGGTATATGAATTAACAGAGGAAAAAAATGGAAATATTTGTATAAACAATGTGTTTTGCCTTCTTATGGCAGGTGTCTTGGAGTGGGCTAATTTCAAATCCAGCAGACCATAATGGTTTCAATACAAAAGAAACTACTAGAAATTACTAGAGTTAGATGACTGAAAGAATCAGTACATATGCTATGATAGCTTCCTTAGTAGGCCGAGCAGAGAAATAAATGCAATATGGGAGCTGCTAATATAGACAGACAGACAAATGACAACAAGTCTTCAACAGCAGCAGCAGCTGTAACAAAAAAAGAGAAAAGCATTAGTAAATGCAGTCAAGAATGAAAAGCAGCAGCAGTACTCATCAGGCAGGTTAGGTTTAAAGCTCCAAATTCTCAATATAGAATTGTCCTAATAGCCTAGTGGATTGAAGATTTGATTTAATTTGGTGACAAAGTAATTGTGAGTTCAAGTCAGGCAGTGTGTACTTGAACTCAGTGGAAACAGTGATCAGTAACGGAGCAGTATTAAAAAAAAAGAACTAGATGTGAGCAGTGTCATGAGAACATTCCACTTTGTATTAGAAGTCAAAACAGTTATTGACAGCAATGACTGCACAGCTCAAGATTCAACTTGCAATCTTAGATGCTGGAATAGACCAAAATATCCATTTAGTAGATATCTTGGCCAACAACAACATAATTCCTTTATGACCCAGTGGATGGGAAAACATTCACTTTGTGGTTTAAATGTTGGACGGATACTGCTCAGAATGACTATTCTCACAAAGATGAAAAATAAAAAAATCTCTCTCCTAATTCATTAAACTGGGCACTAAGGAAAATGACCATTATACAAATTATATTTTACCAAACAGGAAATGAATTTTACCTTCACTGAAACAGTGGAATAACTCAGTGAAGTATTTGGAGAAATACAATCTTTATTTAGCAATTGTTTAAAGCTAACAAAATATGACATTGATGATTATGTGATTTTTGTTGGTCACATCAATTGGGGATGCAAAAAATTTAAATTAAATTCCTTAAAAGAAGATCAGTTTAAGTGTTTGTTTTTTTCGTTTTTTTTTTTTTTATCAAAGGATTAAATTCTTCTATTCATGCTGATGTTTGCAGACATCTTTCAAAACTAGAACCGGACAAAGGCATTACGTTAAAAACCTTCACCACTGAATGCAATAATTTATTAAGCATCAAAAGACACATTTTGCTGGTCTCAAAAACAGAGGATTTATCAATAAGCAGCAACATCCACACAAAAAAAACACCTAGTGAGGTAAAAGAAACTTTCCTCAAAATATTGCCATTGTGGTGACTCGTATTATGCATACTTTTGTCCATTCAAGAAACATAAGTGCAATATTTGTTACTGGAACAGACACAAAGAAGAATTTGTCAAATCAAATCCATCCCTCCACCCAATTGAAAAAAAGAAAAAAAAAAAACCAAAAAGAAAAAACAGGAAAGTGTTCAAAACAAACACAGTGTTTGTGACATTCAACAAACAAACCCATTCATTTCCAGTTTAATACAGCATAGGATATAACATTAATATCGCATTCAACCTGGGAACTAAATGAAAAACCATGTGTGTCTGAAACAAAACATATAGCAATGAGTGTGTCTGGCATTACAATTCGTTTAACTGGTGACTTAACTTGAATGTTTCTTTTCAAAATGGAACATTTTCTGGTGTGTGTTACCTTACAGATAATTTGAAACTGAATTGTTCTTGACTGCATAGAACAACTCAACCCTTTTAGAAATTCCTCTCAAGTTTGTGTTCAATGCATTTAACTTAACAGTTTCTGATATTGAAAATCATTTTGCAGACAAACTTAAGTTTAGTGACGTTATTCAAGAGGGACTTGGGTGCTGTACAAAAGTTAAGCCTATTCTGAAATTAAAACCTGAAGAATTAGTCATTGCAGCATTATTTCTAAAGCCAGAAGTCACTTCAGTGTTTGCATCCACTGTAAGAACAGTGCCAGTCACTTCTATAATGATCCATGAAGACAATTGCTTCCAATGTACAAAATGTCCATAAGTATGCAATAACAAAAGAATTCATCCATTCTTTCAGTATTGATCTTCATTCTCAGAAGTTTATGGATGTCTTCCTTTTTGCACAATGCAAATTCATTACAGGTATTAACCATATATATTACATATATTAACCATATCATTACAGGTATTAACCATATGAAATCCTTTGCATGCAGCTATGTTTATTGGCCAAACATGGACAAGCAGTTGCAGAAATTTGTAGGCACATGTTCCAATTGACAACTGGCAGCAAAATCTCACAGGAAAACTACAATGAGTTGCTGGCTTTATCCCTGAATCACACTGGACACACCATCACATTGATTTCACTGGACGCATTAAGAAGTAATATTTTATTCTTGTTGATGCTTACAGCAAATGGTCAGAAATTTTTAAGATGAATTGCATCACCTCAGGTAAAAAATTCTTAGGTTAAAGCAAACCTTCAGTCAGTTTGGGGTGCCATAGATACCAGTTTCTGCTAATGACACTGTCTTCACGCCAACCTTCTGTGCACAGAATGATATTCAACACATTAGGACAGTACCTTTTCATTCACAATCAAACAGATAAGTGGAGCATTTTGTAGATACATTTAAGAGGGCACACCTCAAACTTGATGGAGAAGGAACCATACAAGTAATGTTAGAAATGTTCCTAAGAAGTTATGGAGCTACACCTAATCGAAATGTACCTAATGGTAATTCACCGGGAGAAGCACTGATGAACTGAAATATTCATTTTCACATAGATGTTATCCATTCATCTACAAACCATTCCCTGAACAAGAACATGGTTGATGGAAGAACAATTTAACCCTCATCATGGAGCAGTAAAATGCAAATATGTACCAGGATAACCTGTACTCATAAAAGATTACCACAACAGAAAAGAAAAATGGATCTATGGATGCATTATGTGTTGCTCTGGAAATGTTATGCATGATGTGAATATTAAGTCTTTTGTCTGGGTTCAAGATGCAAGCAAATTATGACCATCTAATCTTCCAAAGACCAAAAAGTGCACCAAGACAATCACATCAACTATGAAGTAAGCCATACCCACAGCAATTAAATGCCAAACAGAAGTCATATGAGCACAAGGTTGAAAAGGAGAGTTGTTAGGGGAAGCTAAATTTCTTTCCCTAAAATACAAATCGACATTTCCCTTGTCTGAATTGAACATGGCAGCCAGCTGACATGCATGTGGAATTCATTGTTTCAGTCCATATAATCCTTATTCTTGTCAATGAATAAATAAAAGTTGTTTATTTATGCGTTAAAATATACTTATTTTCATTTGTTTTATTCATCCCAAACAAAATAGGATATAACAATAATATTAACCGTTTCCTTACACGGAAACATTTAACATTTATTAACTGAGTAGACAGTATTACTTTTGGCTGAAATTTACAAAATCTTTTTCTTAAAACAATTTCTCAAAAAAAAAAAAAAAACAGATTTCTTAAGTCCTTAGCTGTTATCACTCTTTCCTTTATTGAGGGAGGTTTCCTTACTAACCTTTTATTTGAAGTAATATGGAATGTCAACATCTTCATTATGTCATTATTTTCTCTTTGAGAGTTCTATGTGCTATTCATTTTATTTATTGGTCGATAGTCCTCAAGTGATATGGTTTCTGTTCTGTACAGTTCTTTCTTTGTGTTTTTGTAGTGCCAGTCCACAATTATGACATACTTATGAAAAGTAGACTTGTAATAATTTTATAGAAAACAGTGACAGAATCTACAGAGTGGTCTGAATGTCTTGTCACACCTACACAATATAATTTTCTATTTTCGATGGCTGACACTAGTCCCTACAGTTTGGAACAGAGGGCTAGGATGTCATGACTTTCAGACCTCACTGTACTATGTATCGTGCTTAGTACATTTATGTTTATTTAACATTATTAGAGTGTAGGCAGCAGGATTCAGTAGGCATAGCATATTGAGTTATGAGACAGGTC